ATCCTTTTCCTGTAAGTAAAGACTTTCAAACAAGCCATTCTAACTAGACATTAGAAAGAGTACGAAAAAGATAAAAACGAAAATCCAAAATGCATTGTTTCTCTGTTTCTCTGTTTCTCTGTTTCTCTGTTTCTCTGTTTCTCTATTTCTCTATTTCCTTTTCCGTCTTTCCGCTCTTTGTAATGCTTTACTTTGAAATTTAACTTTTTAACTTCATTTTTTCAGCAGACTAAGACAAGACAGAATTTCCTTTATCGAACAAAACGCGTTTGAATCACTAGAACAACTTTACGAGCTGTAAGTGTGTATGTCAGTGATTTTTAACCTATTCTCGTGGCTTAAATTATTAAAGAAGATCCCGTGCAGGATGGCTATCTTGACTCAATGTTTTTTTTTTCCATTTCGCTAGTCAAGCTTGAAAGGCGCAGAGCCAAAGAGCTACAACTCAAAAATAGATATATTCTTTTAAACTTTGATTAATTTTGTTTTTTGGGGGGACAATTCTGAAGTTGTCTAATTTTCTAATTGTTTCTGTAGAGATCTGCGCTATAACAATCTCAAAAGTCTCTCATTCAAGCTTCCCTTGACAGATGAGCTCAACTATCTGTAAGTACCATCAATGATCTCCCCCCCCCCCCCCCCCCCCCCGTACACGATATCCTAAAAATCTTCAGTTCTAATTGGCAGCAGCGAGCGGGCGTTATTTTCTGTATTCCACTCAATATCCTGACGTAAGTATCAGATTGCAAAAGGACAAAGCAAATTGCAAAACAACGGGGAAAAAGCAAAGGGGGAAGAAAATAAATAAATAATTTACCGGCTTAACGTCGGTCCGGATAGGGAATAACTTTCCCCTCGGCTTTTGTTTCTGAGTTGAACTTCCACATCCAAGATCCAAATCCAAGATCCGCCGGTACACGCAATCAAAATATGCTTATATTTTGTGCAAAGGTGTCTTACAACGTTTAATATCATGTTTGTTCTAGATACGTTGGGCATAACTTATTGTGGAATGACACGTATGAGCTCCTTAAAGGACAAACTATGTTATATGTCTTGTGAGTCAGTTAATATAATTTAGTTCAGATTGATGGTGATGAGAGTGGTGGCTTCATAGCTCTTTTCCTTTGTGGATTCTTTGTGGGGCTTTCATTTATTAGCACAGGGGAGTGGGGGTCGGCAAAATGACATGGGAAGGTTTAAGAACATAACTCAACCCCCCTCCATGGTAAAGCCAACAATTGCATAACCCCCCTCCCTTTCATCGTCCTGCAATACGTACTTCTTAACCCTCTCGATATATATGTGAAACCACTTTCTCAAATTAAAGTAGCCCCACTTCTCTTTCATTTTGCCGACCCTCCCTCTCCCCCTGTTTGCAATTGTTTGATGTATTGTTCTCTCCTGTATTACGAAGGTAGTCTAAGGTTTCCTCCCTCCGTAAAAATCAACGTGTTAGTTGAAAGTTGTGTGCATAGAATATTAAATGTGCGTGTGTGTGAAAGTGTTTCAAATATATGTAAACCAGCCCTTAACGCTGTATTTGACTCCCACTTTTAAATAAAGATTATTTATTCATTTATATTTTCTTTTAGAGATATAACGAGTAACCATTTGACAAATTTAAGAGCAGAAATTTTCGAAGACGTTCCGTATTTGATTTTATTGTAAGTAGTGTTTAAAAAACGAGGAGTGTTTTATCAGGTATAAAAGCACTAGTTATATATAACTAGTATAGTCATTAGTAAAGGTTGGCTGTGATAATGAGTCTGATGTTTTTTATCATTCTTCAGATTTGCTACAAAAGCAAGCATTCGACAGATTGAGGATATGACATTTAAAAATAAGTTTTTGCTACGTCTCTTGTAAGTATGAAAAATATCTTTAATTACTTTTTCTGGACACGGAAACGTAGGGAAGGGAAGGGAAGGGAAGGGAAGGGAAGGGAAAGGAAAGGAAAGGAAAAGAAAGGAAAGGGGAAAAGGAAATGAGCTCTAGAAAAAGGATAAA